TTTATTATTTGAGCGTTCGTGTTTGTCGATCGTCGTTCATCGTTCGTCGTTTGTCTTCTGTCGTTCGTGTTCACTGATTGTTAATTTATGGTTTTCGTCCGTCGATCGCTGTTCTATGTTCATTGTTTTTCGTACGATTCTTCTCCTTTGTTCGTTCGCTCATTGAAAGCCCCTCGTCTCTTTTCGTTCGTTGATCCAAACTAGTCGCTCGTCGTTCGTCTTTTGTCATTCGTCGTTATTCGTTTCTTCTCTTCGTTTGTTTTTTGTTTGTAATATAGGTCTTTAAAATTTGGTTTTTTAATTTTTGAAATTTTAAATTTTTATATTTTTGAATTTTTATATTTTTTCATTTTTATGGTTCTAAAATTTTATATTTTGAATTTTTATATTTTTTGAATTTTTATATTTTTCGTAATTTTATATTTTTAACTTTTTATATTTTTTGATTTTTATGTTTGTTGAAATTTTCATAATTTGAATTTTTATATTTTTTGATTTTTTATATACTTGGTTTTTCATAATTTTTGATTTTTTATATTTTCAGTTTTTGCGAATTTTATAATTTTTTGTTCGATTTGTATGTATCTGGGCTCTTGTCATTCGTCTTGCGGTATTAAACGTTCGTGTTTTTCATTGGTTTTTCTTCGGTCGTCTTTGCCTTCCGTCATTCGTGTTTGCTGATTGTTAATTTATCGTTTGTCGTTCGTCGACAAACGTCGTCGTGTGTTATTTCGTTCGTCGACGTGTTATTTGTTCATTGTTTTCCGTACGATTCTACTGGTTTGTTTGTTCGTTCGCTCATTGAAAGCCCCTCGTCGCTCGTCTCTTTGCGTTCGTCGATCAAACTCGTCGCTCGTCGTTCGTCTTTTGTCATTCGTCGTTATTCGTTTCTTCTTTTCGTTTATTGTTTGCGTGTAATATAGGTTTTTAAAATTTAGATTTGTATATTTTTAGATATTTGATATTGTTAAATTTTTATATTTTTGAATTTTGATATTTTTTGTTTTTTTATATTTTTGAAATTTTATATTTTTAATTTTAATATTTTTTAATTTATATATTTTTCGGAGTTTTATATTTATGAATTTTTATTATTTTGATTTTTATATTTTTTGAAATTATCATATTTTGAAATTTTATATAATTTGATTTTTTATATATTTGGTTTTTTATATTTTTTGGTTTTTGATATTTTTTGTTTTTGCGTATTTAATAATTTTTTTGTTCGATTTGTATGTTTCTGTTCTCTCGTCGTTCGTCTTGCGGTGTTAAACGTTCGTGTTTGTCATTGGTTGTTCATCGGTGGTCGTTTGTCTTCATTCGTTCGTGTTTGCTTATTGTTAATTTATCGTTTGTCGCTCGTCGATCGTTGTTCTTTGTTCATTGTATTCCGTACGATTCTTCTGTTTTTTTTGTTCGTTTGCTCATTGAAAGCCCCTTGTCGCTCGTCTCTTTGCGTTCGTCTATCCAAACTCGTCGCTCGTCGTTCGTCTTTTGTCATTTGTCGTAATTCGTTTCTATCCTTCCTTTATTGTTTGTTTGTTATATAGCTTTTAAAATTGTGATTTTTATATTTTTTGAATTTTACATTGTTAATTTTTTATATTTTGAATTTTTATATTTTTTGATTTTTTATATTTTTGAATTTTTATATTTTGAATTTTTATATTTTTTGATTTTTTTATATTCGGTTTTTAATATTTTTTGATTTTGGATATTTTTTGTTGTTTCAAATTTTAATTTTTTTTGTTCGATTGGTATGTATCTGTTCTCTCGTTGTTCGTCTTGCGGTGTTAAACGTTCGTGTTT